CTTTCTGGAGGCGCCATGAAGTCCGTCGCCATTCGAAAGATTTGGCGCAACTCTCGAATAAAGAGGGAGTTTTTAAAAGATGACCTATTTGAATAGGAAAAGGTCGTTAGGAATTTTCCTGCTCGCAAAATTATTCTGACTCGTCCATTTCGTTTTCGAATCGGCTGGTGAACAGAAGTGCGCGAATTACTTTACGTTCTCGAGTTAAATTTAATCAAATTGATTTTGTGCGTTACAGCTTCCACTCACTTGCTATAAAAAAATAATTTTCTGAATTTCGAAATCATTAGACGTTATAATGATATTTTGTACTTATTAGATACACAGCAAAAAAAATGTAATATCGATCAATGTACCCGCATAAACGCGAACCATAAATTGACCTTACCTAAAATGGTTAAAAATTGTTTATAATCCCTGCTAAACTTTAACTGAAATGGTTATAGAACTTTACATGAACGTTTAATGATTAAGTTTCAACCTTATGTATTATGGTTTTTTGGAAGTGGACCTTACAAATAATGGGTTGTTAAGAACCATTACCGTTCCAAATTCTTGTTTTCTCCATACATTTTCGGAAAGAGAACTATATTAGAACCTTTTAACTTATGGTTTGAGAACTTTAATGGTAATGGTTATGGTAGTCAGTAAGGTCCATGAATGGTTTTGTAACATCGATCAACTTTATGTGGAATATATCGCGAAAATTCAGAAGAAACGGTAAAATCACAATTTTACTTTGAATTTCATGCTACAATCTAGAAAAACCACATAGGACGTTTTGACAAGTCGAGTTGTACATCGGACATGTTACATTGGACGATTTTTCTCAATGACATAATCAATGAGTGTTACATTGGACGTTTTTTCTACATGATACTAGATTCCCTTTCACAGATTTCAGAGTATAGTACCTAACTTTAGATTGGCCCCGCCTTTGGAAAATGAGCACCAATCATGTTAGGCAGTCTGAATGACCGAAGTAACAATCATTTACCCAGCATTTCAAACTGTACATTGGACAATTTTTGATCAATGATTTTCTTAAATAAATAAAAGTAAATTTGGATGGATGTTTTTGTATCGCATACAATGATAGAAGAGCAATAGTTTGTATCGCTTATCTCGATTTGTTTACATTTGTTACTTAGGACCTTTTGAAAAGTGACGCGAGAAATAGAAGATTCAAGCAAGAATTTCAAAAAAGGCGTGACTGATATTATGGATATTCTTAATATTTTTGCTCACATTTTGTGAAAAATAAACTTAGGACCAAGGGGTTAGTCACTCAGCACAATGTGCCAAAAATAGATTTTGCATAGTTGGGGCACATTACCGGCACGTTTTCGTATGTATCAGATTATAATTAAAATAAACCGGGAGCACTGCCTGGGTTGCTATTGACAACGGTAATTGATGTTGCGTGTACGTAAACAAACGTGAATCGAATTCTTTTCGCTAGACACATTGTTTCCAAGCTAACGGTATTTATTCATTAAAATGGAACATTCCAACATAGATGTGGTAAGTAACTGACTAAAAATAGTTTCCTTCAAATAATATCACATGTTTCCGTATCTCCTCCGGTTTTAGATTTTTTTCTGGAGTAAGCTGGAGGAAGAGTACGGTACGGTAAACTTCCATCTAAAAAATATCCTCACAATTCAAAATCTGTGCAGTCAGTCTCTTGGGAGGCTGACAAGCGACAACATTAAAATTATAGAGGAAGACATGCGCGGTATGGCTGATTGCCTGAGAGAAGAAGCACTAGCGGGTGGAATGCCCCTGAAAGATATTTACGGGAGAAAATTTGCATCGCATCCAGAAAACTTCAAATTCATGGAAGGAGAAACGTTGTGTTTGCTGGATCTGGCAGGTATTATGAACAATCGTGGAGTCAACCATTTTTTAAAGAGAGCCAAGCGACAAAATCAACGGCAGATAAGAAATGCTCAGCCACCATCCGATATGTCCAATAATGACGGTGATCCAAGTGATAAGGACGTTGAAATGGAGTTACATGCCCGAAAATTACAAACGAAAATTTTGCTCTATTTTTCCTCGCGGTAAGTATTAGTTTTAATGCTCCTATAGCTTTCAAACTAAAAGTTGTTGAACTAATTTTCTTTTCAGAAAAGGTCAAGACAAAATTTTTGATGATTTCTTGGTTAAACTACAAGATCATCGTGTGGAAGTTTACACTGCGGGCAATAAAATCCAAGCTTATGTCACGTGTCCAATTTGCGTTGAAAGTAAGCAATCGAAAATATCACTCAATATGGACACAACAGGAAGCTGGCATATGTTCGCATTTAAACGACACTGCGAAACATTTCACATCCAGCTGCCACATTCATCTGGTAGGAAGCGTCGTAGCATCACACCAGATATTACTGGCGAAGACGAAAGTCCAGTTAAACGACCGTTTATGAATTCAACAGCTGATATTGTACAAGGTATGTTAAGAAGAAGGATTTAGTAAGATCATTATAATATTTGTATTTTAGACTTTGAGCATACGCTGCGTGACACGGAATTAGATCCGCTCCATTTTGCTACTGATGGGACGGACAGTGAGATAATCGAATATTTAGACGAAATTATGTATGAATCTGAAGGTATGTTCAAATTTTAATATTCCAGCAGGGGGTGATCCATTAACTATGTTCCGTGAAATTGTGAAAACATTAACACCTCTCCTCTCTTTCATTGCTCGCTATCTTATTTATTTATTTCTTTATTTATTGTATGTTATCAACATACTAGTTTGGTGTCCAAATGATAAAAAGTTATCTTAAAGCTAACAAAAATTGTCGTAGAAGAGAGTCGCGTGACATGTCAAAATCAAAAACTGAGGAGACTCGGTTGAACGTCCGTTGGAGGGCGATTAGCCTGGAATTCGCGGCATAGTTAGTTCTCCTGAGTGGGATCCTTAGAATAGAGTTGCCTCAAAGCACACGGGAGCGAGCTTGAACATTAATGTTGCCGAGCAGGGCAGGACAATCCATACGGTCAGTTAGAATATCAGCGATGACAAGTGCCTTAGCCACCTCACGTCGTGTTTGGAGGGGGTCCAGGTGGATCATGAGGCAACCGCTCTCGTAGCTCCATAGATTAAAGGGATCCCTCCAAGGCAATCTTCGTAGAGCGTATCTGATAAAACGTCGCTGCACCGACTCGATTCGTTCAACACCATTTTGGAAATGAGGGTTCTTAACTGGAGAAGCATATACCAATCTCGTTCGTACCAGGGAGCAATAAAGTGATTTCATGCAGTATACATCTTGGAACTCTTTTGCTACCCGAAAAATGAAGCCAAGGTTTCGTGAGGCTTTTGTGTCTTATATATTATTTAGTAACATAATTCCAAATCCACCTCCTCGCTTAGAGCGTTACGTAATTAATGGATCGCCTATAGCACACAAATTAAGGGCATGTGCTAACATTACAGTTGGGAGTAATTTTTGGTTTTAATTTGTTTTAATCACATATTTTATTTCATAACTTAGGTGCAGGTGTTGAACAAGCCAAAAAAAATAACGAGTATGCTTCTGAACCTGAGATCGTGTATTTTGAAGAAATTGTATATGAACCTCAAGGTAAATAGTATGCGGGATCAAAACATTTTATTTATTGTATTACAGTAAGGATCCGATCTTGTCTAATATTCTAAAAAACTCATGTACTTTTAACTTCTTTTCATTTCATCTTCAAGATAGATAAATAAGGTATATTGTGATGCAATAAGATAGCTATATTGCATCACAATATACCTTATTTATCTATCTTGACAATGAATGACAAAGATTTTTAATTACGGTTAAGTTAAATTATTGAAAGATAAAAGTCTGATGCGTGAAAGGGCTGACAAAATCGTGTCATTACCTGAGTGGTGCGGAGAAACACGAAATGGTTGTCAAAAAGAATCCAACTGGTGCTGTCAAAAAGAATCCAACGATCTAGAGCTGCTAAAAGTGATACTTTTCTCATACAATCCCCGTCGGCAGAGAAAGTATTGTGGTCAATGTTGAAAATATTGTCATTTCGGCATTTTTTTACTAATATTCTTCAACAAAAAACTTGCTCAAATACTCGGATGTAAACAATGTAACGAACGAACAAACCTGCACTAACTGCTGAAGGAAGAATGCAAACAAACTTTATAAGAGTCATGTGGGTAGGTGCACACCATGTACACGTTATTTATGGAGCAAAGGGTGAACTTTCGACAGCATGTATATGCAAATTGTGAGCAGTGCATTAGCAAAACAATTTGTGATATCGGAAAATTTTCAAGTTGTTTCCTGCTGACTTGCAAAACAAAAACGGCTGTGTTCGCAGTACCCAGGTCATTACTATAACATTTTCAGTTACTTTTTAAATACAAGGTTTGAATATTGTTTGCCATTTTTGACTTCACGGTTTTTCTTATAATACTTTATTTAACAATCCAGGTTCAGATCAACAATCTGATGACATGGAACAATACGAGGACCGAGAAGTGAACGAAAATTCAAATGAACACGGGTACACAGAAGAGCACGAGAGCAAAGAAGTGATCGAGGACCCAAAGAAGCATGAATACACAGACGAGTACGACGACAAAGAAGAGAACGAAAATTCAAATGAACAGTGGTTCACAGAAGAGCACGAGGACAAAAAAGAGCGCGAGGAGAAAGAAGTGTACGAGGACCTTGACGAGGACTCAATAGAGCACGAGAGCATAGAAGAACACATGAACCAAGACGAGCATGAGAACAATGCAACGGTCGAAAGTAATAATTTAATTCACAAATTTTAGTTATGCTTTCTTATGATGATCAATTGACAGGATCTGCAGATTACTCGGAAAACCTTGCGGAAAACTAAGTTGTTGGGACGAACCGGTCGAACGTCTCAACACAACAAACAAAGCGACCGACAGAAGAAAAAAGTCAAGTCCACTTCTTGATCTTCACGTTGAGCTGAATGCACGGTCAAAATTGTGTATGCCACGTGGAATGCGGTATACAGAATCTGAGCTCGATGCAGCTGCCTATGAATTGATGACTGCTGGAAACAGCAGTTATCAATTTAAAAGAGCAAACATGCAGCTTCCTAGTTCAAAAACAATAAAACGACATATCGCAAGGCACACTACAGAAACTCAAGAAGGAGTCTTAATGGTGATGCCCCTGCTTAAGTATCTAAATGCGCACAACTATCCATTAGTAGTAGCTTTGAGTGAAGATGGAACAACCCTTTCACCAAACCCGGAATATGATTCAAGATATGATGCAATTCGTGGCCTAGTGGCTCCTTTAAACAAGTTTGGTATGCCTGAACAAGATGTTTTCAAAGCCAGTTCAATCAAAAAGATTATAAACGATCTTGATCGTTTTTCTGTTGGTGAATACTTATATGTTGTATTAGCAACACCAATGGCTGTCGGAGCATCGCCATTTTGCGTGCTGTACACGTGCAGTGATAACAGATTTACACATGACCAAGTTATGTCGAGGTGGGCATTTATAGAAACTGAATTGCTGAAAGTTGGCATAACCGTCATATCGAACGCGTCCGATGGCGATCCACGGCTTCTCATGGCTATGCGACAAAGAACAAAAATACCAAATGGATGTCCAAGCGAATCATACGGCCTTCACTTTGTCATAGATATGGATGATAAACCAATCTGCATTCAGGATAGTATTCACCTAGTCAACAAATTTCGTCATACCTTGTTAGACCCCAAAAAACAAATGCGTTTAGGTAAAGATGCTTCTCATTCTTGTTCTCATCACAATTTTTATATAATTAATAATTTATATCTTCGACTTCAGGTGACTATGTAATTTCGTCTGCAGTCCTCAAACAAATGATGGAAAACGGACAAAAAGTTATACACAAACTAAATCCTTCTGATTTGAATGCGGTGGACCGAATGAAATTTGATCCGTCAATGAAACTTATGTCGTTGAATCTAATTGATCATTTAACCACAGTGGTACCTGGCAGTATCGGAACAGCTACATATTTACGAATAATGCGTAATGCTTATTTAGCATTTAACGATCAACAAATGTCTCCTACAGAACGCATAACTTCAATATGGTTTGTTACAAAATGATGATACCCAGTATGACACAAATATGTTTCAACTAACTTCTTTCTACAGGACTACCTTATTATTTGTTCGTGCATGGCGACGAATTTGCTTAAAGCATCAGAAAACACTAAAACAGTGCCCTACATCAAATGTGTATCATTGTTTAGAATTAAATGCGCATGGCTTAATAAAATTCGTTGTCAGATGCCGGAAAGCCAATAGAAGTGAACAATTCATTATCAATCATTTATCAAGTCAACCATGTGAAACTGCATTTCGTGAGCTTCGGTCAATGACAACTGTTAATCACACCGCAGTTAATTTCACCATGAAAGAAGTCGAGCAGCGCATGCAAAAAGTTCAAATGAAATTATTCATCGTGCATCGTAGAAAAACAGAGCTAAACTTTCCGTGCTTGCAGAAGAAACAGCTGAAATCACAGAAAACGCCGATCCATGACCTTCCAAATGATATCCAAATCCGCCAAGCTATCGAGAAAGCTGCAAACGATGCAATACATTTGTTAAACCATCTAGGTGTTGAACAGGAAGATATTGATTTCGGGGAAAGTATGACAATTAGAAATTCTAAAACTGAAGCCGAATTTGAATTTGTTTCAATTAAGAACAGTGATTTCATTAACATAGAATGCGAAGGTAAAACACAGTTACATATTGAAAAGTTTGTGTAGGTGATTTTCTCGATAATATTTCAGATAAATACGAAGTCAATGAAACTGCAAATAAGAGTACCGCAGGTTCTGCAGTTGAAGAAAGCTCTTCAAATGAAAATGAAATAGGAGAACACATAATTGAAGATGCTGAAACGATATTTGCTAACGCTGGTGGAGAACTACTTTTACGCCAATGCTCTTCCGGTAATAATCGTAACGTATTCCACGTAAAAGGAGTAAACGGTAAAAATATGAGCATAAAAAAATCGACAATGCTTTGGATGCTGTCATCAGGTCGTTTTAAAAGATCAAACGACCGCTTGAGACGGTTTCATCGTATTAGAATGATTGCACCAACAGGATCAGTTAACGCTAACTGCATGCAGCATGAAATAACTATCGGAGATTGGATAGCACTACATGGTCGCATAGTTTGTCATGTAACTAACTTTCAATACCAGAGAGGTAAATATAGCTGACGCACATAGGATATTTGCTAATACCTTTTTTATCTGCAGGAAAATCTAAAAATTGTCCACTTACCACTGTTCCTAGAGAATGCCCAACGAATGTGGAGCGAAGGGGAATCTTTCTCTTAGGAAATTTTTATTCAATATCCCAAGCTGGAGGATTAGTATTGAACAATAAAAACCACCACAAATCGGATATTGACCACTATATTACGCACATCAAAGCGCCGAGCAACAAGCTTTCGCTGTCGGATGATACATTGTCGTACCTACGCACATATGATTAAATATAAAATACAATAAGCTATCACTATAAGGAAAGTTTTCTTCGTCTACTATTATGTATACTTCTTCTTAAATTGGATCGGAAGTACGTCCCAAATTATGTCACATAAACATAAAACCCTCGCTAGCCACTCGTTTTTTCACATTCGGATATGCCCACAATGCCCTGATTCACTCTAGGGGCTGTCCATATTTCACGTGGACACGTTATGACAGGTTTTAGATACCCTCTCCTGCTGCGAAGACAATCATCCATCTAATTTTTTTTTTTAATTTGTAAGGACCGGGACATTCGATAAACTCCACCACCCATCCCATGAGCTGTCAATGTGGTATATGGATAGCCCCCTATTATACTCAACGTTACCTCCGTCACGTTTTATCCTCTCCAACTCACTGGTATTTTTCGGATTGTGATCGATCGAAAGCACATCAAGCTTCTGGTTTATGCACACGATCGCCCGCGAATCCCTAGCACACTCAGTAAAACCTATCGTTCTTTATCATAACGGTGACCACCGTCGATCCGGCTATCCGTTCATTCAGCGATTTGTCGTTCAGCATAGCCTCGTCAATGTCCAGAAAGCCACGTCGCAGAGCCATCTTCACATCGTCCCGAAACCGGTAGCGCTTGTGCGAGTCCTCCATAAGGATGTGCCAACCTTGCATACAGCTCGATCCCATCTTGTAGCAGTCGTTCTGGCAGAAGAATTACTTTTTCGAGGTTTCCAGCAGGAAATTTTCCAGCAGCAAAATTCAACCGATCAGTTTGATCCGGTGCTGATGGGTCGGATCGAAGCCCGATTACTTTCGTTGTCTCCGCCGTTCCTTCACATATGATTTGTGTGCTGCAGGAAATTTGAAGAAATTCGTGAGAAAATCTAGATAATAATATACGGATTAGCTTATCAGATGAGGATGAACAAATGCGGTAGTACGTACGATTACAGAAAAAAACGACTCTTTCACTTCCTTAACAAGATTCAAGGCCAACGATTTCCACCGCACGAGCGAATCTTGAAGCGAATTTGTACTTAGTAAATAAACAGCTGTCAATATCTTCCTTACAGAAGCAGTGTTGCCAGATATACCAGATCAATTTGTATTTGACCACTCATACACTTCAAATATATAAAGGCACAAATCAGGGTACAAATATAATCGTTCGGCACAATACCGGAAGAATGCGGCACACTGTAAATAGCGTTAATACAATAGCAGCTGTGCCGAGTGACTTACCCCTTGCTTAGGACTCATAAAATATTATTTTCTGATTTTCTACCACGAAGTCAACCATTTATATGGCATAAAAGGGAACATAATTTCATTTGATAAAAATAAGACAATTCAGTCATGCCATTTTTGCAGTTCACACTGGAATTGTGACGTTTCAGATGTTGGTTTCAATAACATGGCGGCATGTCACCCAGCTGTGTAGCATTCCATTTTCGGATGTTAAAAGTTTGTAGACCGGTGTTTCCGTGTTACCCCGACTGAACATCCTCTCGAGATTCATTAAAACGTCATTCCGCCATCGTTTACAAGCGTGGTTGTAAACAAACGCGATTTCAGTTCAAACAAAATTCTACCTGGTTTTTACGCAATTTTTATATTGTTCAGTGCTCAAAACGGTGCAAATAGTCCTCAAAAATGCCGGTGGACATCAACCGGCTAACGGATGGCTGGTTGGAGTTGGAATCTGACCCGGGTCTGTTCACCCTACTGCTAGAGGACTTTGGCGTCAAGGGTGTCCAAGTGGAGGAAATCTACGACCTGCAGAAAAACATCGAAGGGCCAGTGTTTGGCTTTATTTTCCTATTTCGCTGGATTGAGGAACGCCGAGCACGTCGGAAAATTGTTGAAACGACCGAGATTTACGTGAAAGACGAGGAAGCAGTGAACAACATATTCTTCGCCCAGCAGGTGGTTCCGAACAGTTGTGCAACCCATGCACTCCTATCTGTACTGCTAAACTGTTCCGATATTGATCTGGGAACGACGTTGAGCCGACTGAAAGTGCACACTAAAGGAATGTGTCCGGAGAATAAGGGCTGGGCCATTGGGAATACGCCAGAACTGGCATGTGCCCATAACTCGCACGCAATGCCCCAGGCCAGACGGCGAATGGATCGCAATTCCGGAGTTAGCACTGGGCGGTAATTGTGCAATTCAAATAAACAACAAAGGGTCAGTAAGTTAGATTCGTGTTTTTTTTTCAGATTCACCGGGGAAGCATTCCACTTTGTAAGTTTCGTTCCGATCAATGGTCATCTTTTCGAGCTGGACGGTCTAAAGCCATTCCCAATGGATCATGGCCCATGGGGTGAAAAGGAAGCTTGGACCGATAAATTTCGTCGTGTGATGTCCGATCGTTTGGGTATATCCACGGGAGAACAGGACATCCGCTTCAATCTCATGGCGGTTGTTCCGGATCGTCGAATCGCCATCACCCACAAGCTGAAAATGCTGCGAACCAATCAGACGATTGTATCGGCTGCGTTGGAAAAGTTGTTGAAAAGTAAGAAAAGTGAAAGCAGAACTCAGTCGGAGATCAAGGAAACCGTTGATAAGATCAAAAAGGAGGAAGAATCTCCGGTAAAACTGAGCTCGGAATATTCTCAGCTACTGGAAATGAACGAAAAGGACGACTCGTCGGTTCCCATGTCCAAAGAGCTGGAATCGTTGGTTTCGCTCAATAGTTCATCCGATTCTGTGGAAATAATTGGCGAAACGGTAATCAAGAAGGAAAACCCCCCACCATCACCACCGCCGTCGTTCATCGGAGCGGGGACGTTCTCCCCTAAAGACCTCCTTTCCTTACTGAAGAATCTCGAATCGGAGATAAATATAACCGAGCAGCACCTTAGCGACGAGAACGAGAAGCGCGCCATGTTCAAGGTGGACGACTGTCGGCGGACCCACAACTATGACGAATTTATTTGCACCTTTCTCTCGATGCTGGCTCATCAGGGAGAGCTCGGGGACCTCGTATCACAGCATCTGATCACCAGCCGGAAGCCCAGCATGAGTGGCGTTCAGAACAGTGGATCTCGTGGAGTGGTACGGAACTACAACAAGAAGAGTACTACCAATGGATCGTCGCCGAAGACGCCCAACTCGAAGCGACGGCGCGGCAGAACCAAGTACCGGAAAAGGAAGTAATTGCTTGGGCAATTTGGAACGCATTATGAGACTGGAAGGCTGCTTATCTCTTCTAAGCTAAGGAGGAGAGAACACGGCATTTTTTTTAGCAGGTATTTTATGTCTTTATTATTCTTGGTACTGGGTGATCATCACTACGAACACTCGAAACAATAAATTTCCCATTGTTTAGGATCTGCTTGAGGCAATAGATTGTAAAGCGGGAATTTACTGGATATCACAATCCTTGCTTTGCATAATAGCAGATCACCTTCACTCTTTCCAAAATTAAGGGACGGATCACAGGGTCACCATTCTTGCAACCATGGCATGATGTCATTAGCGAAGCCAAGAAGCTGGACGGACTTCCTGAAAATCGTACCACTCTTCGGATCACAAAGAGGTTCAAGAGAAGATAATCACCCCTATTCTCTATTCCGTTCAAAATGAATTTCGCACACAAAAATTTAACTTACACTCTAAACAAAATTCACTTCGATGCTACGTGAAAAATCACGTTACCCCTTAAACATCCCACTTCAATCATTTTCACGTGCCGCAGATCAATGTCAAATGGAATATTGATAAAATTTACGTGTTTTTATGTCAGTTGATACTACGGGAATTTCACGTTAAAACTAAGTGATAATCATGTACACTCTACAAAGTATACACGTTCAATCTACGTGAAAAATTTAGCTATTTCGATTACTTCAATTTCCATTTTTACATGATGGCAGTAAAATTAACAAACATACCATGTCATGTTCACTAGAGCTGAAGATGAAAGTGCTTACGTGAAATGGGTTTACGTGATTTACATGTATGAAAAAGTGATTCAATATGGTGTCATCAAGTTCAGTAGAGGAAGAGTTACTCTCAGTTTGTGATTTCCTAACACTGCATAAATTAGAAGTAACTTTTTTACATCATTTGAAGACCGCACAAATAATTGTATTTATTTCGATTTCACAGGCTAGAATCAATATCATAACTCTGAAGAAGACAGCACAACCAGATTATTTTCCCTTGATTTGTTTTCCGTACTCCAAGTCTACCGACACTAGCGAGACAGCTCCCACACCTGAACCCTACATATCGACCCATCAACTTCATGATGAACCGGGGACCAACAGCTGATCAGAGATGTTATGCCTCAGAACATCCCGGTGGCGCCGATTGGAATTGGTCTGCTGGGGTGAGAGGTAATCACGCTTTCCACTACACCACCGGCGCCGCTTCACAAACAAATATTGCATCTGAATGGTCTTGATCAAATCTTTGAGGCAACGAAATGTTCAATGTTAAATTTTAAAAGACATGTATGTGTAATGATCGGTCAAATGTCTAAACCCTTTGACATACGTTAATTTCTTATCCACCGTAAATCACACTTTGAAATATTCTCGCTGTAATTTTTCTCTGCCAATTTGCACTCACACAGTTCAATATGATTAACTGCTTACTTTTTTTTTTCTTTTTATACCTTCGCGAGCTCACCAATTTTAGGCTGCTATTTTCCAAACCCAGCATAGAAAATCAGCTTTTTCACTCTACGTCTTGCTTCTCACTCCTGCGCTATTGAAATGGCGGACCAAGTGGAACAATTGGAATTACAATGGCCACGGTTCTTTTCATAGACCATGAGCCATCTATTTTTCAAAATGACGGCTTCGAATACTTTCTGTACAAACTGTACAAGCTTTTAATACTTTTTTTTCACCGTATTCACACGTGCCAGCTGCTAATTATTACCTTCTGTTTCGCTCACTGACAATCATAAGCAACCGTCACACTAAAACACAAATTTCTTCTTGCTTCACGACTCTTTTCACGCACGCTTCCAAACGCCGCTGCAAGAATAAAGTTTTTCTTTCCTCACTACTTCACTTTTTTCACTATTTTTTTTTTTAGATTTTCCACTCGTTACTATTGATGTGTTTCCGTTTGGATAGAGATTCTTCTACAATAGAAATATAAGTGTTGACTCCTTTTTTGGGGGCGACCCCGGCGTAGTGGTTAACATTCTTACCTCTCACGCCAAAGTCACGAGTTCAAATCTCACCCCGGACAAGTCACGAATGACCCAAGAGTGTTAAAGTGACTATAATATAAAAAAAAAAAGTGTTGACTCCAGTATGTATCAAGTCCAACTGATCTACTCAGCACAGTGTTTATTTCATTTAAACATTCTCCTGAACATCACACTCAAAATAATTGTCAAGTCAAAGTTACGTGAAAAATCACGTAGATCTAAAAAAGTATTGTTTGTTCTGAGGCTACCTGACACAAGTAGAATTTAGTTGTTAGCATCTGATTTTTATCTGAAACACATTTCACATCCACCTTATTAACCGATAACATTTACGTGAAAATCACGTACGTTAGGAACATCATCCTGCCGATACTGACAGTTCTATTTTCACGTACTTTCTACTTGTTTCACACGTATGAAAAAATAATCAACATGGCCACGGTACAAAACGCACTGCAAGAGCTGTTAAGTGATTTAGAGATCTCCGTCGTTTGTTGCAGATTTTGGACGGTACATTACTTATTCCGTGTCAAAAATAGGTTCAATACAGATAATTCTAACCCACTGTGAAATAGTCAATAAGTATTCATTGTCATTATAATAATAAACATTGGACAAATTAACGGCTTTTTTAATCCTGATTCTGTTCAGTTCAATAATTGCGTAAAATTCATATATCATTTAATGCTTGAATTAATTGCTATGTAAAAATCAATACAATTATAACAACATTTACTTTACTTTAAATCACTGCAATTCTTATAAAGAAAACAAAATTCATCAAAAATGTTATTACTTTTGATTAGATTTTAACATAGATTGTATCACAATTACATTGAAAATTTACTGAAAGATTTCGTAGATAATACTAAAGAATAACGTAATATTTACGTGAAACTCCACTGGAAAGGGTGGGAATGGATACGTTCTTCGCTACATGAAAATCACGTAAGTGTTACGTGAAAAGTGCGATGGAAAAAATCCACATATGTTTTCACGTAGCTTTGACGTGACAATTATTTTGAGTGCACTTATCGCCTCACTTATCGTTTTCTCTCTTTCCGTTATTACCGCAAAATCTCTCAAAGGGTTTAGACATTTGACCGATCATTACAGTATGTATCATTAAAAAAAATCTAAAAAATGTTTTAATAATCTTTTCCTGGTATTTTTTAGATCATGTAAACGTCACTTCAAGATCAAGTAAACATTACGTGAAAGTCATTTTCATTTCATTTTCATTTTATGATGTACAAGGGGGTCAGGGGCCATGTCACCGATGTGAATATTCACACCATCCATAATACACCAGGGAAGGGGAGAGGAGTGAGCAACACAGCATCTTTACCCATGGGGGTTAAAAAAGTTCTGCGAGGTACACTTATGGTGAACCAGCGGCTCAGGGATTGTAGAAAGGAAAAAGGTTGGGTAGGTTTAAAATGCAGAAATAGATGCCGTCACGATTCAATGCGCATGTTAAAATAACGTTGAATATAATCTAGTTATGATTATTGTCAATAATACTTACATTTCGATAAAGATGATGCTACCTACTTTACCTGTTATGTGATACTTATCATCACAGAGTCCAACCTTGAATCGCAGATCAGGTCCACTAACAAAAAAACTCGTTCCGAGAAGGGGCTTATGATCTTCTTCTTCTTCTTCTTCTTCTTCTTCAACGTGAGTAGTAAGGTAAATGTTACGTGATTTCAAATTTAATCTGAAAGGATTTTCACGTAACGTTTACATGATCCTGGAATGACATTTACTGGAAAATTAATTAAACGTAATGATTGGACCGGATTTTCACGTAATGTTTGCCCGATCTTGTAATAATATTAACTGGAAGTCGTTTGTTTTTTTTCTGAATCATGGTAATTCTGTGCAGCGTGCGATGTGATTTCCTGTTACCATTGAAGCGACAAAAGTCACCTTGTGTGACGTGAGACTCCGCCTGAGATGTATAATGTCTCTCGTTACACAACGTGATTTTTGTTCCTTCACTGGCGGCAGAAAGACACATCACTTTACGCCGTGCATAATAACTTTAAGTGTAATTAAACATGTATATATTTTATTGTTTTATAATATTATAATATTACACATGGCACACATTTCATTGAACCTTTTCCATCTCCTATTAGTTTAACAATAATCATTATAATTATTCTTAACTCGAAACATGTATACACCATCGATGCGATGTAAGGACACAGGCTGACTGTCAAAAATATCAATGGTAATTATATCCACCAAATTTATTCTATCAATGGCTTCGTATGCCAAAAAGTGGTCATTATACTCACCTACATGCCACATCTGTACTATTAAGTATAAAGAATCGTGAAATAGCAATAATTCTAAAATCTCAAACAAATGCACCACACTGTTATTGAACATTGTCATAAAGTTCCCTGTTCTGTAGATAGTTCCCTTGTTATAAGCAGAACTTGCAAGCATAACATTAAACTCCGTTTGTAGCTGTAATGGCTGAACAAGCTGAGAGAAATAGTTTCGCAAACGAATATCAGCCATCTGGAATTTATCATTGGCATCATTTTCCAGGAATGTTTTGTTAATGACATTGTTATTGTTATTGTTATTGTTATTGTTTCATGCTGGAGGGGGCATTGAGCCTGGTCGCCAGTGTAATTTTGGTGACCAATTATACACCTTCCATGCAGCAATCAGATAGATAAAGATGAGAATTGGCTCTTAGATAATGACTTATGCGAGTCGATTGAAATCAGCCGAATATTTAATGAGGGTTTAGGTGATCCTTAACATAGAAGCGTAGATGCATAGATGAAGGATAAGAGAAAGGAGAGAAAAAGGTATTGAAAAACAGAATTGGTAGAGAATGAGTGCTGATGAATATGCATTTATGTTTCATTTAGTTATAAGGATTATCAATAATACTTACAGTCTGATGATGATGTTGCCTGTTGCCTGCCTACTTTACCTGTTATGTGATATTTATCATCACAGAGTCCAACCTTGAATCGCAGATCAGGTCCACTAACAAAACACTCGTTCTGAGAAGGGGTTTATGGTCTTCTTCTTCTTCTTCAGGTTCGCTCACCACCCGGAATGAAGGCTCGGTGCGGTTAGTAATATCAAACAGTGTTACATGCAAACGAAAAAACGAAAAAGAGATACAACCAGGATTAGTTTTTTAAAGTAATAGTTTCATCTGAATACCCAACTAACCATATCTCAGTGATATTGTACCACTCTGAACCCACACCTAAAGCTATTTTGTGATTATATGGTTACTTTGGTATTCACATGAAATGTTGTGCAAGTACCAGAAGTTCAACAACGCCCAACTATGGACAGCTCAATGTTAACACCATTTACTCTTTGAGTCAGCTTCCACCAACATGACAATCTACTAAGAAACATCTAAGAATGTATAGAGATAAAGTTCAAAAATACAGTTTTAACTGATGGTACTTTATAAACGTCAAACTGTCCAATATTGGACCCTGCCAACACACGGCGCCTGCACGGTGATGTGGGCCCTCAAAATGGTTTATCGGTTGCGAAGTGAAGTGCTTCTCAAACTGAAGCGATACATTTATCAATTTTTCAACGTTATCCTAACGTAAACTTAATATTATCACCCACATGCCCGTCCACGCCCGAAACCCATCCACCATACAAAATCAAATAAAAATGTTTCTGTATGGCAAACACGTCCAGACATAAACGAGAATATGGGTGTATATCTTCACTGTAACAACTACGGGTAATCATCGAAAATACTTGCATTTTACTCAGGCACTTTTGAGCAAACTGCAATCATTCTCTCATACTCGAAATGTGCCACGACCAAATTGGCACAACGACGCCCTATACGCTCTCTGACCAAAGCGCAAGTACAAAACTAGTTGTTAATTAAATGTATTTTTTTTATGGGGCCTCCCTTAGCTCAGCCGGTTAAGGCGCAGCTACAAACCAAGACCATGGTGGAGGTTCGATTCCCGGTCCGGTCTAGGAATTTTTCGGGTTGAAAAATTTCTCGACTTCCCTGGGCATAGAAGTATGATTGGACTTTTGCCACACAATTATACCAATGCAAAAATGGTACAGGCATCGAAAGCTCTCAATTAATAACTGTGGAAGTGCATCTAGAACACTAAGTTGAGAGCACGCAATAAGCTAATATGCGATATGCAATAAGCTTGAAATACGAAGAAGAAGAAGAAGAAGAAGATGTATATTTTAAAGTTTGAATTATCTTCCAGATTTTGTTCTTTGAAATCAAGCTTGAAGCTGCAAACGTTTTCAAATCGTTGTCGTTAAATTAAAACAATAAAAAGTTAAGTCCTTATCAACAGTTGGTTGTGAAATGTGTTGAAAAATATTTATCAACAACAAATTTTGATCAAACCAAGCAAGTCAAATTCCAGAAATTTCAAATTAATTATAGAAATATTTGTGTCCGCCTGATTGTATGGAAATCTCCCATAGTGCATGGATTTGCCCCTCCCACCTAAAGTGTCCTTGTGGTATATGAACAGCCTCAAAAGGAATGTAAATTCCGCAAAGGCGATATATATTGTAGTACACACTGCAAAATGCGGAATGTCAGTGCTATATTCTGCTACCCACTGATGTGTTCCGGCCGGAACATTGAGAGATAAATTGCGAAGTAAATATTGTAATTGAAATCCTGGACCGACTGGTTGCCTTTATCGCAAGGAATAGATTCTAATTTAAAGGTCCCGCTATTGATGCCCTTCGAAAAGTGAGAACACCCTCCATAGGCGCCCCTTTGTCAGACAAAATTAGATTCCTTAGCAACAAAACTAAGCAATGACACCGATAATGACCATGCATCAGAAGCCTACACCGTTCGAAAAATTCATGTAAATTTCTGCTAGATGTAGCACACATAAAACTTACGCTAGATTTGGTATAAATTTACGCGATACTTCGTGTAAATTTAAGCGCAATATCGCATAAATTAGCAATATTGTATGCAAGCTTTTAAACGATTTCTCTGTTTATGACAAGTATAGCTCAAAATTGAACGAAGGGAGATTTTACGCGATAGTTAAAATTCAGATAACTATCAGATATTTTAAATGCCGTACTCTAACGGAACTATCCACCTACCCTCTTCTAAACATCATTCTCTAGCTAATAAATCATCACACTAAAGCTTCATGTTAGCATTTCCAACCAACTCTGAAAATCGTTAACTTCGCGTATGAAGTAACATAAAAACACTTTGAATGTTATTTTTCTGTGTTGTCTTAACCACTTCAAACTATAGTCGCTATATTCAAGCGACTATACTTCAAACTATAGGGAACAGTGAACAGAAGATTAGGAATCACATAGATGAAGACTAACTAATTTTTTCCTTGTTTCAATATCATCCTCGGTCCACGCAACCCGAGGACTTATCAATCCCCCTTATTCTGCGAGTCACGTGACTCTCTCTCACCGGTGAGGTGACAATAGTCACCTCGTGTGAGGTGACTCTCCATTTGATTTACATGGAGAGTCACCTCACACGAGGTGACAATTGTCACCTCACCGGTGACAGAGAGTCACGTGACTCGCAGAATAAGGGGGAATATTAACAAGGCATAAACATCTCTTCAAAACGTTAGCGGTAATTGGTACATATGACTGAATTTAGTTTTCATTTTTAAAGTAGGATTACGTCTTTCGGCAACATATTGGGGGTGCAATTTAAAAAAAAAACCAAAATTGACCGCATTACGAAAAGTGGTCAGGTTTTGACCACACATAACTCTGTGAATAGCGAATGGATTTTAATTCTAAACAAGCCAATTTTCAATAGGTCACTATTGAAAATTACACAAATGTCCAACTGTTGCAATGGTGATCAAAATTAACACCGATTGCCTGCAAAAAGCGCTTTCTATAACACAGATTTTAAAATCGAATTCCATCCGGTCTCACTGAACGGTGCTCATTCAATCACCGTGTGTGGTGGTATTTGGTCGGTCATCATCAGTAGCAGCAGTGCTTTTGGCGTGTGGCGTTGAACATTGTTCTCCAGTACACAACCAAAGGCTGCCAGCAAGCAGCGAGCTGCAGCCCACATGAGCGTCCATTCCTCGAAGAAGGAGGAAGAAGCCACCCGGTACTGATTGGATTCAGTAGCTCTTCGTGAGTCACTGTGGGCCATCTATGCCAAGCGCGTCAACCTCGCTCCAAATAACATACAGCGCGCCAGCCTCATCCGTGTTTAACACACTAATAGCTCAGCATTACTCAACCATCACGACAAAACTGTCCTTTTGGACGACCATAAATTTGTTAAAGGGTATTTTCTGGACATTTATGTCAGTTCCCATATGTTTAAATCAAACATAGCATGTATTTTTAAGGCACAGGGGTGCAATTTTAAAAACCAAAGTCGATACGCCAATCGATAGGAAATTTTTCAACGAATTGTTTAAAATTATGACTTAATCATTTTTTCAAAATGTCACTATTGAAAATTGCACGAATGTGCAACTGTTATAGTAATTAAAATTGTCACCGATTGCCTGCGAAAAGCGCTTTCCCTAACACAGATTTAAAATTGTATTCCATCCGGTCTCCCACCAGGACCACCATAAATTTGTTAAAGAGTTCTGGACAAGGTACACAGTACAGCTCGCCAGCCTTATCCGTGTTGAAAACCCTAATAGTTCAGCATTACTCAACCATCACAACAAAACAGTTCTTTTCAGGACCACCATAAATTATTGTTGTTTAAGAGGTAATTTTCATTGAACGTTCGTCTTGCTGCCAGCCACATCACCCCCGTTACAGTATTGAAGTGGTACATACAAATTCTCGCAATGACTGAATACCCACATAACCTTGTCAATTAACCAGAAACCGAATTAAGGTAAAGTTTTCTCCAGGACGCTAGAAAAAAGTAAAGAAAATCTCGATCAATCATATAAAGATCGCGGATATCTCGCGATTGGAAATTTTTAGCAAGACATTTCTCCTTTCAATTTTCGCTTTTTTATTTATTGAATAAACCTTTTGACTTAGGTAAGGTTGACTTGAATTAGATATATGAATTATCAAGTGACACAATTGCGTCTTTTCAACTTTAGTTTATTTGAGATTTTTAATTATTATTGAATGTTCCTAGTCCTATCAGGCCTGTTTTAGAGAATGACCATCTTGGTAAGATTGGTTTGCTATTGAATAAACCGAAAATTCCTTGCGCTTTGTACAAATTCCTTGCGTAATTTTGTCATCAGAAAACGGTTCCGTGATGGGAAAAGTGGTTTCCCTTACACAGACGCAGAATAGTGATACCGAGCATGTAATCCTACGTCAAATCTACGGTCGAGTCTTGGATACAACCTCTTACTTTTTTTAAATTCTTTTTTCGCTGTTCGTTTTTTTTTTTCTATTTTGCTCGCATAGCGTTAAGTTACCCTAACAAATGATGAAAAAAACATACAATATAAATATTGAGCTTTTCTTGCTTTTGAGCTTTTTTATTATTTTAACACTGCCTTAAATGAGCGGAAATTGATACTCTGATCGTATTCATGATGTAAATAGGGCTTGAAACTATCAATTTGGATAAAAATCATTCGAATTTTCCACTGAATTTGGTATCATTAGTGATGGATTAAGGTGGACAAACTGCCCCACTTCCCCCTATATTGAAATATAAAAGCTTAAAATTTTAAACGTCATTGCATTAAGTTACCAAAAAATGTGTAAATTGCACATTACGCCCCTAGCCCATTACGATTTTCCAATCCCATTCAATGACACCCACACTTCCCTCAACACAGGGACTTTCTTTCATCTATCTCTGGCAAATGCTCAATCCGTCGCATTAAAATGATGAAACCCAAAACTCTTGTCTTGCATTTTATTTCGCCGGAATCCGGACAAATCCAACTAAAGCTTGACCGCGGCGCATCTTTTCAAACCTGCTGCCTGCTGCTCAATAATGTTAACACATCCTGTCTTAAACTTTGGGCCTTATTTGTTTTGTTATGTTATGTTTATTCGGGGTTTCATTTCACGTTATTTGTGTCTGGACTTATCGGTTCACAATTTGAAAGCCTACGATGTTCTACGAGTTCCAACTTCTACTTGACTAACTACACACCTACGTATTGTTTGCTGGTTTGTATAATGTTTTATTGAGTTTGTGTGTATTCCATTAGTGTGCAAAATCGTAAGACTACCTAATTTGTCTCCGCTATAAAATTCTATTTGACGTTCCAAGTTTGACACGCTGATCTCTTAGCGATTTCTTATCTTATCCAGTAGGTAGGTATCTTTCTCTAGAACCTATAATATGCTTGTAGTGTTTTCGGCTAGTTTAGAATGATATTCGCTCCGCCTGATCAACTGCTGCGTACGATTTGGCTTTTTATATAAATCATCGGCGATTTCGTGAGTGAATTCAGTTCGAGTGGGAGGGATATGATGGGCTATGTTAGCCTGATCAAACAATAGTTGTACTGCGTACGAGTGCGACACGCTGACTAGAGCGGATATTAGTGCGATTTCAACTGTTCGAAAACAAGATTCCTTCAGATTCGATGGCTTGGATTAGTTTTATTGCAAGGTGATGATTACTCTTTTAGAGACATTTTATTTAGTCCTTCTATTGCACGAGTTTATTGACCGCGTTCGATTTGCTCGGTTTTTGGTTCAGCGTTCATTCTAAAATATTGCAAACTCAGACATTCCATAAAGCACATTTCCTTCAAACGAAGGTAGAAGTAGTATTTGTATTAGGTATATGTTTAGATCAGAAAAGTTGTGTGCGTTTCTCAGCTCTAAAGGCTCTAAATTTCTAGAGAAATAGCTAGTTCAGTGAAAGAAACAAAAAAAAATTTAGAATACATACTGCGAAATGAAACAATATTGATAACTATAGTTAAACAACCTAAGCGACTCTGTCTATCAGAGCGCGATGACTAATGAAACAAACGGGCAAACTAACGACGCGACTTAAGAAAATCCTTTCTTTCAGCTGATGATTATTGTAGTATAATGTACCGATATAAGAAAGTGTTCCTCCGGACAACAGTCGCTAACTACTGCCGGAAGCGGCAAGATGGGCCTTTCTTTCAGCTTACCTGCTGCTCGGACGCCTTGGACGATTTACTGCTGCTGCTGCTGCTGCTGTCGTCCTTTTTGTCCTCCTGCTTACTACTACTACTGCTGGCATCGGTAGCCACGGGAAGTTCATGCTTGTCATGCTCCTCGAATGGGATTCCGGCGGCGGTTTTGGCCATTGTTTCGGTGAGCATGCGATCGACTTCCTCCTGGCTGGCTTGCACAGCGGCAGCCTGTTCCGAAGTGCCGCCCTCCTTTTGGCGCTTTTCAATTTCGTTCTTCAGATTGGCAATCTCTTTGGAGCTGAAGAGTAGTAGAGAAGAGAAAGGGAAATGGGCTTGAGTTAGTTTTCGTTTCTCTTTGCAATCTAGTTGCTCGCAAGGTGCATTCAGACCGAGAACCAGTTATCCGTAAAATATTGACCTGAATAAAAAGTTTCTTCGAAAAGGACAATTTGACATTGAGCGTTCATGCATGGTCGATTCTTTTCGTCGATTTGTTAATAACTCGCTTGGATAAACATTTTTCGACGCGTTTGCTGTTGCTCTCGATAACCAATACAACCATTCATAGTCCTGATTTTCTTTAGATAATTAGTTTATGTCTGACAAAAATCAGCTTAATTGGTTGAAGGACAGCTGAGAAACAGTGGTAGATGGACAATACCACCCACATATAAAGGAGGTACGGTATAAAACCTTTGGAGTTAATCCCAGGCCTCCGATAACCTAGTCAGTAAATGCACGGTATTATCAAGCCGGAGGCGGCGGGTTCGATTCTCTATTTTCGTGGGCATAGAGTACCACTGTGCTTGTCACACAATATACAAAATCATGCATTTGTGTTGGCATAGAAAGCTCTCAATGAATAGCTGTGGAAGGGCATTTAGATGGTTGGTTGGTTTGTTGTCCTTATTAACCCTCCGTTACTCGCGCCAACTTTTGTAACACGAGTACTCGCGCGTTGTACTTTGTACAACAGTTTGAGTTTTCCATTGCCATTTTGCAGCCGAGCTACCAATCGATATGAAACCAACGGGTATTCCTTAAAAACTTGTTTTTAATTCAACAAGCTAAACTTTTATCACAGTTAACCCCCAAAAAATGCGGATAATAGAGAAAATGTGAATGGAAACCGTGTAAACGGTGTCCGCACTACGTGGGATTTGACTTAATTGGTTATAACATGGAAAATCTCGAGATCCTGACCAGATAGAAAGTTACTGTCTTTGGCAAAGTTGTTCTAGTGGATAGAAGTTCAGAATTTTCTCACTACGTAGCGCTAGAATACATGTGAATTCTCGCATGTTATATATCTCGAGATCATGACCAGATAGAAAGTTACTGTTTTCGGCAAAGCTGTTCAGGAGATCATAGCCTTTTTGCTGGTGAACACTATTTCAGAATTTTCTCACTAGGTAGTGCTCGTATACATGTTAATTTCTTGCATGTGATACATCAATAGAACCTGACCAGATAGAGAGCAAATGTCTTTGGCAAAGTTTTTCAGGAAGTCAAGATCTTTTCGTTGGTGGACAGTTGTTCAGATTTTTCTCACTACTCGGTGGTAGTATACACATGCAATTCCCGCATATACAATAGCTCGAGATCCTGAGCAGATTGAAAGTTACTGTTTTCGGCAAACTTGTTCAGGGGGTCAAGACTTTTTGGCTGGTGGACAGTAGCCCAGAATTTTCTCACCACGTGGCGCTAGTAAACGTGTACAATTCTCGCGTATGCTATAGCTCGAGATTCTGAACAGGTAGAAAATTACTGTCTTCGAGAGTTTTTTTTTTTTTTTGCTTTATTATAGAGACTTTTAGCCTTTAGGTGGTTCGTCTCTTTGAAGGATTGGGGCTCCTGAGGGGGTCCCGGAGAGAGAAAATAAATAAATTGCAGAGTTTAAGTATCTCAGAGTTCGGTGTCGATTGTTTTAACAGTAAGGAAGGTGAACGAAGTTGTGGTTAATTTCCGAGAGAGAGAGAGAGTCAATGTCCGTAGCCTGCGGGGTTGTCATCGTTGTTCTTCCGTTTGACATGTCATTTAGAGAGCTGGTGTTGTCCAAGTGCCGTCGTTCGTCCGTTGTCGTGTCATTGTTCGTTGCGGGGTTCTACGTATATTGATAATAGCCTGTGTCTTTAAGGAAGTCGAGAAGTGATCTTTTCCTGTCTGGGTCATTGGATAATGCGTCTCTGATGCTGAGACCGATTGGTCTCGGAGGTTTTGATGTGCAGGGCTTATGAGATGCTTAACTGACATTTTGGTTGAGCATCCCATACATTGTTTGTGGAATCCATCACGGGATCCGAGATCGTGTGAGAATCTGGTGTAGCCGCAGCGTAATCTGGACAGTACTCTTTGGTCCTTCCAGTTTTTGGTGTCGGACCAGCATTTCGTATCTCCTTTTATTTTGCGTAAGAAAGGGTCTCGGGTATTAGCCCATTCCTTGTCCCATGCCGAAGTGATGATCGTTTTCGGGGGTTTTCGATCTGCCGATCGCTGCCAGCTTGTCTGCAGCCTCGTTTCCACTGATATTGCAGTGATATTGCAGAACCCAGACATATACGGTGTTTCTGTTCGAAGCCATTCTGATTGCTTGCATCTTCGAGAAAGTTGTCCATGAGGTCAATGCCTATTGCTTGGTACACAATAGTTCAGAATTTTCACACTACGTGGCGTTAGTATACACGCAAAATTCTCGCATGTAAAATATCTCAAGATTCTGATAAGATAGATTTCGCTAGTAAACAGTAGTTCAAAATTTTCTCACTACGTAGCGCTAGAATACACGTGAAATTCTCGCATGTGGTTTGATTCGAGATCCTGACCAAATAGAACGGTACTGTCTTCGGCAAAGTTGTTCAGGGCGCCAGGCCTTATGGCTGGTGGACAGAATTTTTTTTTTTACATCATTGTATGCACGTGCAATTCTCGCATTAGATATATTTCGAGACCTGCTAAACTGTCATCGGCAAAGTTGTCCAGGAGATCAAAATTTTTTCGTTGGTCGACAGTACGGAATTTTCTCACTACGCGGCGCTGAAATATACGTGAAATCTTCGCATATATAATATCTCGAGATCCTGAACAGCTAGAAATTTACTGTATTTGACAAAGCTGTTAAGGAGATAAAGATCTTTTGGCTCATGAACAGTAGTTCAGAAATTTCTCCAAAACTTGGTGGGCAATTCTCGCCTATCAAATATCATAAAATAAAAATACAATTTACATCAGCCTTAGTGGGATAAGACAAATATATTCTGGATTTCTTTTACTGGTGAAGATTTTCATGCAGATTTGTGGATACATAAAATGGGATGAGTCGTTCCATTTGTATACCTCTGATAAATTAGTGGTAACACGTATCTCAGATGGAAAACATTATCTTAAAAGATCAATATTGCTGAAACTTCCACCAAATGAATGTTTAGAGTCTCCCTTTCATTTAAGGCGTAAAGTAAACGAGAGATTACTTGGCCTGGCTTTCGTTAGTGATACTGACAGAATCGAACTTTTCGAATCGCCCTGTGGAATTTTAAAACTCGACGCTCATCACAAATATTTTATCATCAAATTTGACTACCTTCGTAATACTGACGACGTTGAGCTGGACCGCTGTTATTACGATTTCAACTTCTGCAATGAACTCCTTATCAACGCCCGGATAGGCTCGATAGACTGGACAACGCTTTTGACTGGTTGTGACGTTGACGATGCTGTTTTCCGGTTTTATGGTGCCATTTTCGATATCATCCACGAATATACTCCTATTCGACGACATTGCCTCTGTGTTCACTACAATCAACCATGGTGGACCACGGAACTTAGGAACCTCCGAAACAGGTTACGGAAAGCAAGGAAACGTCTTTTCAAACAACGGACTGAGGAAAACAGACGATTACTTCACGACATGGAGGGGCACTACACCAGCCGGTTGAACACAGTTTTCCATGAATATGTATTGCGCATTGAGTCGGAGGCAAAGCGGGATCCATCGTCTTTTTGGACCTACGTGAAGAAACTTAGGCGAAATGGCGGTATACCACTCGATGTGTCCTATAAAGAAGCTCGTGCTGACTCCGCGGAAGAAGCTTCTGATCTCTTCGCAAAATTCTTCAAGGATGTTTTTTGGACTACCCCTCCCGCTCATTCTCCGGATGATCGTCATGACTGGATGAGCAGCATAGCTCATTACAACTTGCATTTGCCGCAGTTGGATGTATCTGTTGAAGAGGTGATGAAAGTTCTTTCATCTGTAGATCCTTCTAAAGGCCCTGGTCCAGACTGTTTGCCGCCATCGTTCATCAAGAAATTTTCTGCATCTCTCGCTTCACCTGTGTCGATTATCTTCAATCGTTCGCTAGTTAGTGGTGTTTGCCCCACAATGTGAAAAATTGCGTCCATCACACCTATTCACAAAGCTGGAAACATCCACAACGTTGAAAATTATCGCGGAATTTCGATTCTAAGCTGCCTCCCAAAAGCTCTGGAGAAGATCGTATATGAGGTCGTATATCAAGCGGTTAGGCCAATAATTACCGAACATCAGCACGGCTTCGTGAGGAAACGCTCTACAACAACCAACTTAATGGTGTTTGTCAACTCGCTGATCAACTCCATTGAAAAACGACGACAAGTTGATGCGATCTACGTGGACTTCTGTAAGGCGTTCGATAGGGTTCCACATGTGCTTGCAGTGGACAAAATGAGGTGTATGGGATTACCTAATTGGGCCACGAAGTGGCTACAGTCTTACTTAACTGACCGCTCAGCCTATGTGAGCATTAACGGTGTTAATTCGCCTAGTTTCGAGATACCCTCTGGTGTTCCCCAAGGTAGCCATTTGGGGCCTTTAATTTTCATCCTGTTCGTGAACGATCTGTGTAGTCGACTGTGTTCTTCGAAACTTATGTTCGCCGATGACTTAAAGATCTTTCGTACAATTAAGTCAAGACTTGACTGTTGCGCACTCCAGAAGGATATTGATTCCCTTTTGCGCTGGTGTACATTGAACGGTATGCAGGTTAATGTCACAAAATACTGCGCAATATCTTTTAGCCGTTCACGCGAGCCCTTACGACATGACTATAGGATAGGACTCAGTAGTTTGCTATTCGTTTCTTCAGTTAAGGATTTGGGTGTTATCATCGACTCTAAAGTCAGATTCAATGAGCACATCTCCATGATAACTGCTAAAGCATTCGCCACATTAGGTTTCTTGAAACGAAACACAAACGCATTCCAGGACATCTACGCGCTGAAATCACTATACTGTGCTCTCGTCCGCAGTCTTCTAGAGTATGCTGTTGTTGTGTGGGCATCCTTTCACGCTATTCAAGCTAACAGAATCGAAGCCATTCAGCGAAACTTCGTAAGATACGCTTTACGTGTTCTGCCCTGGAACGATTCGGTAAATTTGCCGCCTTACGAAGAACGGTGCAGGCTGATTGACCTGGACACGTTGGCAGCAAGGAGGAAACTACTTCAGCGACTCTCCGTGTTTGGATTGCTTAACGGTGACGTAGATTGCAACCCTCTTGTGAGCCAAATCTACATCAATGCTCCTCAAAGATTTCTACGTAGTTACACGCTTCTGTGGCAACCTACCCATCGGACCAACTATGGATTCAACGAACCGTGGACTTTGTGCTGTCGTGTGTTTAATGAAACGTTTGATGTATATGATTTTAACATTAGTAAGTCTACTTACAGACATAGAATTCGACACCTAGCCTAGAAAATATCTGTACAACATTATGTTGAAGATTTAATTAAATAAATAAATAAATAAAGACTAATTTTAAAATGTCTTATCGAGGGGTCTAGAACAAAAAAAATATTTACTGTTCACCAGCCAAAAAGCTTTGATCTCCTAAACAATTTTGCCGAAGACAGTAATTTTCTAGCTGTTCAGGATCTTGAGCTGTACATATATGAGGATTGCACGTGTATACTAGCGCAGCGCAGTGAGAAAATTCGGAACAACTGTTCACCAGCCAAAAGACCTTGACCTCCTGAATAACTTTGCCGAAGACAGTAACTTTCCATTTGGTCAGGATCTCGAGATATTTTATACGTGAACATTTCACGAGTATACAAGCGCCGCGTAGTTAGAAAATTCTGAAACATTGTGCACCAAAAATAGGCTTTAACCTCCTGAACAACTTTGTTCAAGACAGTAACTTTCTATCTGGTCAGGATCTCGATATATTCCATGTTGTAATCAATGAAGTCAAATCCCACGTAGTATGACCACAGTTTACGCGGTTTCAATTTACATTTTCCCTATTATCCGCATTTTTTAGGTGTTTACTGTAATCAAAGTTTAGTTTGATTAGATCAAAAAAAATTTTTTTTAAGTATACTTGTTGGTTACAGATCGATTGGTAACTCAGCAACGAAATGGCAATGGAAAACTCATGTGTGTTGTACAAAGTACAACAGCGCGAGTAACGGAGCGTTAAGGAGATTTTCAGCCAGACGCTGGTTCATCTCCGGACGAGTGCATTTAGAAAACTAACTTGAGGGCCGTCAAAACGCTCGCTACAGAAGCGTAAAAGACTATAATAAGAAGAACCGTGAAAGCTTGTCCCCAAGCATTCATTGGGTCTTGGATCTCTGTAACTGCAACGGATCTGACAAAAGCGGAATAGCAACCATGCACATTATCCGAAATTTTTTAGAGGCCCACATACTGATTCTTATAAATCTGGGTCATCGAAGATTTTCAATGTCCTGCATTTTACCACTCACCTAATTTGTACGAAGATAATACCGTTGATCGCGTTCAGCATGTCCAGCACGGAACCCATCGACGGCGGCTGAATGTGGATCGGTGGCAGCCCGCTGGTCAGCTTGCCATTCGAGTAGATGTCGTTCATCTTCTTCTGCAGCACCACCGCCTGTTGGGTCAGATGCCGCAGACATTCGGACGATTCCTGGGTCTTTTCGTGGTTTTCACCGAGCTGTTCGTCGTGGGAAATCAATCGTTATTACCTAGCAATGAAAACCAACGCAAAATCATAGCAAGATCAGAACCAACCTGTTGCTTGTAGATGGCATAGGTTTCCTTCTCGTTGTTCAACGCTGATCGGAAATCGCCCATGCAGCTCTGCGTCCGTGCCACCAGGTGGTAGCTGACGGCAACCTTCAGCGACTTCTCGCCGTAGTACTTGATGTTCAGTGCCAGGGCGTGCTCCAGGAAGCGCAGCGAAAGCTCGTACTCTCCAACGGCATGCAGAATCAAGCTGATGTTGCTCTGTAAAATGGGTTCAAATTTAGAAATGAACCGTATAGAATGATAAGCGATAGCAATGTCCAACTCACATCCAACAGGGCAATATCCGGGTGATTCTCACCGCACACAATCGTAGCCAGGTACCGCGCACGGTACAGCAACTTGAGGGCAGTGCTAATTTGACTATTAGCGAAACAATACAATGCAAGTGGTGCCTGTCAAGGAAAAAGAACAAAGCCATTGAACAGAGGTCATAACGTGGAGAACAAGTGGCACTATAAAACTTACATATTCAGCAATCGTGTACGGATGATCAATACCGTTAACCCGCTCGCTCATCAGCACTGCTCGCTGTTGGATGGCAAGCGCCTCCTGTGGATCACCCATGATGTAACTCAAGCGGGCCAACATGCGCAAGCATTGAGCATTCTCCGGATGCATTGCCCCGTAAACGTTGTTCAACAGATTCAGCGCCTCGCTGATCAAATCGTATCCGTCCTTGAAGTAACCCTGCTGGATCTTGCTCTGTCCGGTTGTGTAGAAGTTGTACGCATCGGAAGCCCTCGGGTTGATGTGTTTAACGACGGGGAACACATTGACGATGTCATTCTCGGCGAAGGTTGACTTGTTCTTCATCTCGAAGTTGTACTCCCTGAGCAGAATCTGAACGCCAGTCTTGAGACAAAATGCACGCAACAAGCTGATTTTTTGCAGCCGATAGTGAGCCACTATGGGATCGGCGGAATCATGCACTCCAGCTGGAAGTAGCTCGTAGTCCCAGTAGGATTTGAGCTCCTGTTGAATCTGGGACCAGAGAGATTTGGGTGTGAGTAGCTGCCATTCGTTGCTGTCCTGAGTGCACTGGAATGAGGGTTTTCCGCTTTTACCACCGGAAGAACGCTTATTCTGGCGACGCTGCTGCTTGCCGCCGGATGATCCAGATTTTGTAAGAGCATCCGATTCCAACGAGCTTCCAGAGTGCGACACTGTTGCAGTGGTCGTTAGGAAGCAGTTCAGGAAATGGCTGATGGCTGCTGCCATGCTCATCATTTCGGTGTTCTGCATATAGCTGGTGAAGATGTGCTTGATAGCTCGGATGATCAACTCCGAGACGGCAATCGTGTGCAGGTATTCCAATTGCTTAATCTTGGCCAACAGGTTGGCAACTTTGCCCAAATAGCGTACATTAATTCCGCGACTGTGGAGAGTTTCCGTGAGGGTAGTTCCGTCCATTGGGGCAGCAGTGTGGTCCAGACAGTCATGAACGAAGCTTGGGATTTGGTGTTTGACAAGGAACTCGGCAGCGTCCTTCACCAGTTGCTTCTGCTTCTTCAGCGAGTTGGCTGCATTCGGATTTTCCACGTGCTTGATTCCCGGCGAGTAAACATCCGGATTGAAACGGATATCAAACTCGTATTCCTTCAACGATCCGACCGCTTCGCAGGCACGTTTCACAACCTCTTTGCTTTCATTCTTCTCGTCACTGGAAAGCAACGATTCCATCAATTTTTTGGCTTCCTCCGTTTCAACCTTTGGCATTGCGGAAGACTTCTCCTTCGGCTTTTCAGTTGCATCTTCCTCCTTCGCAGCCTCCTCCTTCGATTCGGCGTTATTGTTCGATTCTGCTGTATCACTCTTAGCGGCCTCTTTAGGCGTTGGCGCTGGTTCGATTGCTTTTGTGTCCTCCTTCTTCTCGCTGTCCTTGGGATCCTTAGTTTCCTGTTTCTGCTTTAGCTTGGCGGTGTTCAGCTGCTGCAGCTGGAAGGCAGCATGCTTGATGAACATGAGATATCGACTCTCGACGAATGCCTCCAGCAGTTCCTGACGCAGACAGCTCAGTTTGTGCTTGTGTTCGATCGGGAAGCCAAGTGCCTTGCAATCCTTGCTCAGTTCCTCGTCCAACTTCAAGAAGTTTACATCCGGGGGGAAAGTTCTCAACAGATCCAGAATGTAGTGACGTCCATCGTTTCCGATGATACCCTTACACTCAACCGACGAGCACAGTTCAATCTCTTCCTCCTTATCGTTTAAGACACTGTGTGGTAGTATTTTCAGATGCTTTCCGGCATTGTTGAGCAGTTCCAAGTATTTCTCGTGCGACAGCACCGTCTTTCCGAAGTCGATCGACCCATACACAACGGATTGTTCTTGTTCGCGTTCCAAGATGCCAGGAATAATCGACTGAGCAGTGACTCGATATCCACGGTAGTCAATGACCACCGTTCCCAACGTGTACAATCCTTCGACATCCACTGCGGAATACACTCGCACTCCGTGCAGATCGTTTCTTGGGGCAACAAATGCCGCAGCATCTCCACCCAGCTCCTTATAGTGATCTCTCACATCGAACCCAAGCGAGAAGAAGATGTTATTCCAGATGAACATCTGCATCTTGGCATCCTCTCCCGGGTTGATCGCCATCACATTTCCATCAATCACAGCCATAGCACCGCGAGTAGCTGCCGTCACGAAATCACTATGAACCTTAAATATGGCACGTTCACGGAGTAACCGTTCCGGAAGGGTTTCCCTTGGCAGCTCCCGAGTTGTCTGCAGTTCCTCATTCCAATCTCTCGTCTGCCCTGGGATGTGTTCCTCATACCCAAGCTTAGAGGAAAAAGTGTCCTCCGCACGGATGGCATCGATGGTGTGTTCCAGAGCCGGAGCAGACCAGGTGTAAACCTGATATGGCGTCGCAACCCGTTCAAACGGATGCCGCTGGGTGCGCTTCTTCTGCATTTGCGCAAAGCACCGACGGAAAGTGGGTGAAATCTGCGACAGCAAATCAATCAATGAATGGCACAGATAGCTAGGATTGTCCGGACGCGGTTCGAACACATCATCTGTTGATTGATTGATGAAGAATCCCCGAGGGCATGCCGAAATGTGTAATCTCTTCTCTTCCATCGTTACCACATACAAGTACATCAAATCCCCATGTAGCTTTCTTGGCCCCGGTGGGGGATTCCACGCGGAAGTTGTTAACACCTTGATTGGTTGGGGTCCCTTTTTGCCTACTCCCGGCTGCAGTGGAAGTAATGGCCTGTCCTTTGCTCCTGGCATGATATGCTCCGGAGGAGTACAATCCACACTCTCAGAACGACCCTTCTTCTTTTCCAGAATGTCGCCCTGAGTAATAGTGTGCAGGAACGTCAGCGAACTGCAATCCACTCCGTTGTAGGCATCAGCCGGATCCATCGACTTCAACAGATCCCGCACATGTCGAACATGAATTCTTGCCTCACGCATCGTGTACGGCTCTTCCACAACCTTAATCACCGAACCTTCCTTCAATCCCTCGATATTCTTCAACTCAGCAAAGTTATCCAACGTAACTCCATCCAACTGCAGCGAGAAACACGTCCGATGGCACGTGTCCTCCCGGTCCATCAGCAACTGGTGGATCTCCTGCACCAGTTCCATGCTGGAAACCTGAATCGACAGGGGCTCAACTCCCGGCGATAGGATCTGCACCGTGAACCCCGCGTCCTGAATGATCTCCATCACTTCCGATTCGGACTTCTTCTTGTCTTCCGATGCTTTGTCCTTCTCCTGCTGTTGCTCACCTTCCGAAGTGTGACCGTTCATACCTTCGATGACGGCAGAATCGTTATGTCCGTTGACTAGAGCCTCCTTGGCGGGTGCTGGCGGGGGTGTTGGTTCCTTATCTTTGCCGTTCTTTTGCTTTTTGTTGTTTCCTGTTGGGAGTTGAACAGAAAGAGAAAAAGGAAAAATCAAGTGAGAATTGCGTTGACTATAACAAATCACGTAATTCGTAAAAGTACACCGAACGGGTGAATAAATCTAAATATAAACTTGTATTCAGGAGGGATGTGTCGTCTTCTAACCGCACACACGAGCGCAAATTGGCGAGCTTGAGATTGTATAATCGTGTTTCAAAAGTGGCGTCTTACACACCAAATCGGCGACTTGCACTGATGTCGTTAACCGCTTGATTCACATGGTCTTGTATTTATAAAAAAGCATATCAAATGTTGTGTTTGTTAGGAAAGTCTTTGGTGGCGATTTAAAATTGCGACCTTGAACTTCAATTTAGTCATCATGCATTATTTTGGGACGCATGTATTCTGTTTAGTATTTTGTTTTATGGCTCTGTAACTGCAGAGACCGTGATTTAGTGAATTGGATGTTCATTGGACAGCCAAAATTTTTATTCCCAATGGTATTATCGGTGATGGAAATTCAACATTAACGGGGTTAAGACATTTTTTCAACATTACAACGGAGTTAAGAGCCGGTCCAGAAAAAAAATCATTACTCAAGGTTTGATAAAGATTCTAGACCTGGAAATGCACATCAAGATCTCATGCTTAAACCAATCCTAAATCTGAATCATGAAAAAAAAATAAACGTTCTTTGACAATGTTCATACACTGGATACAGAAAAAAATCTAGAACCATTTTTTTTTTTAAGAATCGTGAAATTTATATGTTATGACCAAAATCTGAGTGGGACTGACTTACGACTACATTTAACGCAAGGGGTTGGTCACTCTGCACAATGTGCTAAAAACAAGATTGGGCACACATGGGCACAGTCATTGGCACTGTTCGGCTCTCAAAGTTACAATTTTTCTGATGTTTAAAGTTACTGGCCAGATTGTAATTTTTCTGCGTCTGCGCAGTGTGCATGTGTCAAAATTTGTTATTGATGTTGCCACAATATAATCTATTTTTTTTTAAACACAACCGTGAATCTCCACCAAGTCTCGTCGTTGCTTTTGCTTCCCTTCTAAGGACATGGGACTTCATCTTACATCGGTTCATCGTATTCGGATTTGAGACAATCGCCCGTCACCGAAATGGACGTCACACCACCGGACGCTGCTGCCACGGTGGAGACTGTCGTGGCCGCTGCCGACATTGAGTTGCCAGGTGTCGGTTGCATGCCCATGCCCATGTTTTCGATGTTCTCTTTGCTCCACCCACCGTTCATGGTCTTGGACTAGGAGCACAGCTTCATAATGAACGGGATTTTTATGCCTTTGTGATCGATCGCGCTGAGGTTGCACTTCATGATGGCGTTTACCGCTAGGACTACGCTCGGGAACTCAACCAATCCGGAGGAGGAACATTACGATTTCAATGGAAACATTCGCACTTGCGACGGGTGGCAGTCCTTGGTGGTGAATACAGTTAGCAGCAGATCCTCGGACATACCGGGTGGGGTCTTGAAGAAGTGGAGAATCTTGCTCTGCGTTTGTTCTTGGAAGCGCTGTAGTCCTTGAAGCCGATAGAATTGTCCAGCAGGGTGTAGTGTACTCTGACAAGTAGTTCTGCTTGGAAAATGCAACCTGAATTTTGCTACCGTCATTTCCGATTGAAATGTTGTTCAAGTGCTGGATGCTCTTTGGTCTTCAGGAACTTTATCCTGACAACATTTCCGTACAGGTAGAACAGATTGAACTGCTTATCGGTGATGGCTGTGCTGATATCGAGTTGCGCCTTGTTGCTGTGCCGGTTAAATTCCTTCATCAGTCCGGCGTGTGTTCCGACCGGTGTTGGTTTCCATTTTCTGACGGATGAAACTCAGGCGGTGAAAAATTCGGTGCAAATCCGTTTCCTCCACCGGCAGGCATCCTTGGAGACGACTGCTTCCAATGTGTAGTCCCAACCGGAGTAGATGTTGTAGTAGATAAGATTTTGCTGCTGCAAAATTGTGCGACTTTGGAGAGGAGCAATTGCTGGAGAATATTTGTCACATTATCCAGTCTCATGCAACCAACTTAAAGATACGTGAGATCGGTCGAAAGGTTTTAAGAAAGGGCGGAACTTTAGCTAATCTTTTGGAAAAAAATAAGGGTCCAGGAGGTTGAAAGAATCAACGAGGAAATATACACGAAAAATCACCAACAAGCAAGGAAAGTGGATGTGGCTGCCGTTTCGTACAAGCAACAGCAAGAGAGAGTACTTAACAAATCAACGGAAGGTATTACGGGTACAACAGGTCAACGAGCGGTAGGAACTTGGCAGCAACGAGCGCCAGGACCTTGGCAGAGTACCCGGGGTAGAGGAGGACTTTTGCGACGAGGAACATCGAGGACTGCCAACAGCCCACGTAACTTTTGCTGGAGATGTACAAGTAACTATCATTCTGCAGCGGAGTGTTATGCGATACAAAAATTATGCCATAACTGCAACAAGAAGGGTCACATTGAACGTGCTTGTCGGTCTGCAGTTTCGACGAAACGTAAACCTCAAGAATTCGATGAAGCAACGCCGGCAAAAGTTATGAAGATTGCCGCGATCACCAAGGATGAATTTTGCGATGATGAACATTCAGTAAGTGAATAATTTTGATGAGCTGAACTATTTGTTGATTTTGATTATTATTTTATGATTCAATTTATTATTATTTATGGTTCAATTACAAAATAAATCAGTTTATGTTTCATGAATAAGGTTAACTGAAGGTAATCATAATTTCTTCCAGCAAATGATACTACGAACTACTGATCTTGTAGAGGAATTGAATAATAAGGAAATTGTTGGACGGGTTGCAGGCTTACCAGTTACATTTTTGATTGATTCTGGAGCAGAAGTGAACACGGTGGATAGGGAAACGTTCAATAAGTTGAGGAGTATTGATAGTTCAGATGGCGCCCTAATATGTATTTCTATGGGCTCAGACAAGCCGCTTAAAGCATATGCTTCCCAAGGTCAGATTTCGGTGATTGCAACGTTTGTAGCAAGCTTGTTTATTTCCGGTGATCGACCACAGTTCATGGAAAAATTCTATGCCGTCGAAAACGGTAGACCGCTTCTCGGAAGAAACACTGCAATTCGATACAGTGTTCTTCAAATTGGTCTAAATGTTCCAATCCTTCCATCGGATAAGATTAAAGCAAATTTCAAAATGTTTCCTGGTGAAATATGTGCCATAATGACCACCGGCGAATTTCCTAAATTTAATGTGCCACCAGTCGAGCTGTCGTACGATAGGAACTTACCACCTTCACGGAACGTGTTCACCAGTATTCCTCCGGCTTTCAAAGAAGAGACAGAACGTAGAATCAAGGAACTTTTGCGTACAGGGATAATCGAACAAGTGGCGGATGACATGGATAAATCTTATTGCTCCTCGTTACTAGTCGTCCCTAAAGGAAAAAATGATATTCGGTTGGTAGTTGACTTGAGGGGACCCAACAAAAATATAATTAGAACACCATTCCGTATGCCAACCCTGGAAGCAATCTTAGCGGATTTGGACGGTGCTGCTTGGTTTTCTACAATAGACCTGACGAGCGCTTTCTTTCACGTTGTTTTGCATTCAAATTCGAGACATTTGACGAATTTTTTCGCGGGGAATGCAACATACAGATTCAAAAGATTACCTTTTGGCTTATGTAATGCTCCGGACATCTTTCAAGAAATTTTGCAAACGGTCGTACTAGCAGATTGCAAAGGCGTTTGCAATTATCTGTATGATATTCTGGTTCATGGAAAAACTAAAGAGGAGCATGATGCTAGTCTGGAAGCTGTTCTCTGCCGCTTGCGTGAACATGGTGTAAGCATCAATCAAGAAAAATGTTTGTTAGGAAAGCAATCAGTCAAGTTCTTGGGTTTCTCACTATCAAATGACGGGATTAGAATTGAAGAAGATAAATTGAAGGCTATCAGAGACTTTCGGAGACCTGAATCTTCGCTGAGGTGAAAAGTTTTCTTGGATTAATAAACTTCACAGAACGATTCATTTATCAACGAGCAGAGAAGACAAATCATTTGAGGAATCTTGCGAAGGCTGAAAGGTTTCACTGGGGACAAAATGAGGAGGACGAATTCGTTTACTTGAAGTCAGAAGCATTAAGAACCATAAAGAAGTTAGGGTTTTTCAGATACAAGGATGAAACAGAACTCTACGTCGATGCTTCTCCAATCGGACTTGGTGCTGTTCTTATTCAGTACAATGTATCAAAAGTTCCGAGGATTATCGGCTGCGCTTCTAAGGCGTTGTCAGAAACAGAAAGAAAATATCCACAGACGCAGCGAGAAGCATTGGCCATGGTTTGGGGTGTCGAAAGGTTTTCTTTTTATTTGCTGAATAAGTCATTCACCATCAGAACTGATTCAGAAGCAAACCAGTTTATCTTCGGAAATGGATGTAGAACAGGAAAAAGGGCGATCTCTCGGGCAGAAGCATGGGCTCTCAGACTTCAATCGTATGACTTTAAAGTCAAATGTGTGCCAGGCGATTCAAATGTTGCGGACGTGCTTTCTCGGTTAATTGCAAAAACACAAACAGATGAACCTTTCGATGAAGATAACGATAGGCATTTGCTGTTTGCACTGGACGCTGGAACAATGGACATAACTTGGAAGGACATTGAATTAGCATCTGAAGCAGATGCAGAGCTAGTTGCTATTGGTGAAGCGTTGGAATCAAGAAGCTGGCCAAAGGACCTCCGTCGTTTCGAAGCACACGCTAAGGAATTGCGGATTTTGGGTCCCAAGATATTCAAAGGAGAGAGACTTATCTTACCAAAATCATTGCGCTCAAAAGTATTGCTGACAGCACACAGAGGACATATAGGATGTGCTGCAATGAAAAGTATTCTAAGGGAATTCTTTTGGTGGCCAGGTTTGAGTGATGACGCAGAGTCATTTGTTAAGAATTGTAAGACCTGCCTTATGATAACGAAACGACATCCACCAATACCGTTATCAAGCCGCAAGCTAC